GGGAAAAAAGAGCTTTATTTATTTATTTATTTATTTGTTTGTTTGTTTGTTTGTTTATTATTAGAGTACACTTTCTCAAGATCCACCCAGCCAGCACTGCAAATGGCTGTCCTGGAGAAAGATTCTGAAAGGTGTCATCTTAAAAGTAAAGTAATTCACCCAAGTTCTGCCCCTTTCTGTTCTACATGTTATTTGGTAATTTATACCTACAATAATGAAACTTTATTAGTTTAGAAGTGTGTTTCTATGTAAATATCCAGTTTGTTGTGTGTGAAACAGACTGCAGATTTATTTTGCCATTTCTTGGGGTAATGCACAAGTCATCCAGTCGGACATTACTGCAAAATTGATGGGGGGATACCTGTCAACAACGCCATTTATCCTGGGGTTTCAGAACACAGGACCCGTAACTATGGTTTACACCAAAAAAGGGATTAAGACTCAAGACTGCAAAACACATTCTGACCCTATGAATTAATCACTTAAAGGCAGAGAGACTACCTCCAAAGGTTGGAGACCTCCATCGAAAGTAGTTTGTATTTCAAAGCAGTCTGCAAACTACCTATTAGGGATGTACTAAGTGGCATTTCTCTCTATTTCAGTTTCTCCGCTATCAACATTAAAGTTGTATAGTTGTTCTGTAGTCATTATCTTTTTCATCTTAATGTTCAGCTGAAATCCTGCTTTGGGCATTTCTTTCATTTTCACTAAAAGTCATTTAAAGTCATTGCTCCTTTCTGCCAACAGGATGGTGCCATCCACATGTCTTAAGTTACTGATGTTTCAAATGTAGACTGCAGCCAAGGAATCAGAAGATGAAGACTTGGAATGGCAGCAATGAAGGAATTAGAAAAGATAATTAAGTGTAAGGATGTGTCACTGGAGACCAAGACAAAGATCAGCCACTCTTGTATTTCTGATCACAATGTATGGGTGTGAATGCTGGATAGTAAAGTTGATAGGAAAAAAATATGTTTGAAATGTGGTGCTGGAGGAGAGGTTTACGGATAACTGGACTGCCAGAAAAACAAATAAGTGGCTCCTAGATCAAATCAAGGCTGAATAATCTCTGGAGGCAAAAATATTTAAACTGAGGCTGTTCTACTTTGGGCATATTATAAGAAGGCAGAATTCTCTGGAAAAGACAATAATGCTGGGAAAAGTGTAAGGCAGGAGGAAGACCAAATATGAGATGGGCTAATTCCCTAAAGGAAGCCAAAGGCTTGAGTCTGCAAGATTTGAGCAGCACTGTTGTAGGTGACTCGTTCATAGGGTCGCAGTAAGTCTCGCACTTAAACAATCCTTTCCAGGCCAAGGAAAAATTATCTCAATCTACCAGCCTTAACGGTGAGTAAGGTAAGGAATGGAAAAAGTATGGAATAAGTCAAAGAAACCCTGGAAAATACCAGTTGAGAGATTTACAAAACAATTCACTAAATTCTTTTTAGTTCCAACTTCACTGACCAGAATTGGATTTCAGGCAAGACTAAAGTCCTATCCACACTCACCTGGGGCAATGTGTGCCTGGATTCAATGAGTCTGACTGCTGAGCAAACCTTATATAATATCTAAACTCCAACCACGATTTTTGTATTTGGATGCCATGTATAAATAGTTGCCATGTTATGACTTTTTCTCTTATGACTTGAGGACGTTGACTTATATCCACAAAAGCTCACATTAAAATATAACAGTCTTTAAGGTGCCACCACATTTTTGTCTTTTTTATTATTTGTTTTATTTTTCTTTTGTTTTTACTTACCTTGGTAGAATGGCATCTTTACCAGGATGAAAGCAACAAAAATATAGGACTGTTGTGAATTATAGGATTATGGCAATGGCAGTGGGGATACATAGAGGTGAAAATCTGCTACTTCATGCCCCTCTTTCCTGCATGTCAAGATGTAAAATTTCTGAAAATTTCCACTTTTTCAGGAAAAAAACGGGGGGGGGGACTTTTTATTTATTTATTTATTTTATTTCTATCCTGCCTATCTAGATTGAAATCTACTCTGGGCAGCTAACAATAAATTCATAAAACACTTACATAAAAACATTAGCTGTATAAGATAACAACATAATATGATACAAGATGGCAAAAATAAATTAAATAATGACAGGAGGGAAGGCCTGCCTAAAGAGTCAGGTCTTGAGCTTGCTCTTAAAAACACCCAGCGAGGGAGCCAGGCAAATTTCTGGGGGTAGATTGTTCCAGAGACGAGGGGCCACTGCCGAGAAGGCCTAGTTTTTAATTTTTTCCCTTCAGGCCTTCTTGGAGTTAGGCTCTTCAACTGCCCAACCTGGCTGGAACGGGTGACATGGGAGAGACGGACCAGATATTGAAGGCTTTATATGTCATCGTTTAGGGCTTTATATGTCATCATTAATACTTTGACATCAATGTGGAATTGAATGGGCAGCCAATGCAGGACAGGCAGAGTGGGGAGGATATGTTGACATTTTCTCACCCCAGTGAGATGTCTGGCCGCCTCTCTCTGCATCATTTGTAATTTCTGCCTCAATCTCAAAGGTAGCCACACGTAGAGGGCATTGCAGTAGTCCAATCTCAAGACTACAAGCGCATGGACCAGAGTGGTGAGCGGCCCGACATCAAGATAGGGAAGCAGCTGAGCAATCCGCAAAGATGGAAGTAGGCAGTGTGGACTGCTGACGCTACCTGTATTTCCATGTTAAGTGCCAGAGCTAGATGGACCCCCAGGCTGCGAACCTCAGTCTTGGAGGTAAGTCACCCCCTCAAAAGTGAGGGAGTTTCCCAAACCACAGATGGCGGGGCCACCCACCCTCAGGACCTCTGTCTTGTCCGGGTTCAGCCTCAGTCCATTCATCTGCATCCATTGCAATATGGCCTCCAGGCAGCGCTGCAGGGATGAAACGGCATCCACTGTTGTAGGAAAAAAGGAGATGTAGAGCTGGGTGTCATTAGTGTACCAATGACATGAAGCCCCACACCCCCTGATGACCCCACCCAGCGGCCTCATGCAGATATTAAGCAACATTGGGGAGATAATCGAGCCCTCTGGAACCCTGCAATTGAGACTCCATGGGGCCAATACATTATCTCCAAGCTGTACTCTCTGAGGTCCTCCAAGAAGCCAGGCAAGCGCCAAGCCCCCAATTCCCAACTCAGAGAGCCTCCCCAGGAGGATACAGTGGTCAACGGTATCAAAGGTGGGTGAGATATCAAAGACGTTTTGCCCGTCGACGTCCCTCAGCAGGTCATCAAACAGGGCGACCAATGCTGTTTCCGTGCCGTGGCGTGATCTGAAGCCCGACTAAAATGGATCCTGGGCATTGGTTTCATCCAAAAGGGCCTGAAGCTGGTCAGCCACCACCCTCTGTACTACTTTGCTGAGGAAGGAAACATTGGCGATGGGCCTATAATTGCCACTGTTGTCTGCCGTCAGACTTGGTTTCTGCCTAATGAGTATCTCGTTGAGAGCAAGGGGAACCTTGCCCTCCTAGAGAGACCCATTAATTGTTGCCCATTCGGTTGTCACAGGCCCGGCTGCTTTGATGAGCCAGGCTGGGCAAAGGGTCAAGGGAGGAGGTAGTGGCCCGACAGCGGTCAAGCGCTTTGTCCACCAAAATTCTTTCCCCCTAAAGAATGGAAATGTCCAGAAAATTTGCATCTCTACCCTTGAGCTGAGACAACCTAAAGGCATAAAGTCTCAGAAGTCTTTAATTAAGGTCTTCACGTTGTAGTATATAGTTTAAATACAATGTCATGGACAAGGTAAAAAAAAAAACATATTCCACACTTCATATTTTTTTTCAATTATTCTAGGAAAAAAAATAGCTTTGGAACCCCTCCCCTAGAAAAAACGATTTCCACCCTAATTTTTCCAGATCTTTTCCCATCTCTTCCTGCGTGTGCTGAAAACGGTGTGCATGGTTTCCCTTCCCACCAAGCAACCCTGAGAGGTAGGTCAGGGAGAAAGAGCCACCCAATCTTTTTTTTAAAATGGCTCTCAATCCTCCTCCGTATTCCTAAATCATAGCTGAAAAGCAAGCGCCTCTTTATTGATTTATTTCGCCAGCCTCATTTAAAAGACACCGCGCCAAAGGCAGGGAGAAGAAAAAAAAAAGACAGCCTCGTTTGAGGGCGGGGCGGAGCGAGCAGCCAAACCTAGCCATTCATTGGCTGGAGTCAGCCATCGGTCTTCCCTTCGCCCCGCCTCCAACCCGCTCGGGTTAATTCTTTGAAGGCTCTCTCTGTGGAAGGCGGCGGAAGAAGGGCTTCGGCGGCGTCGGCCTCTTGAGGGTTAACTGCGCCATGTGACCGCCCCCTTCCTGCGCACGCGCGGTGCGGCGTTCCGAGCCTTCGCTCCGGTCTCTCGTTGGCTGGAGTCAGCCATCGGTCTTCCCTTCGCCCCGCCTCCAACCCGCTCGGGTTAATTCTTTGAAGGCTCTCTCTGTGGAAGGCGGCGGAAGAAGGGCTTCGGCGGCGTCGGCCTCTTGAGGGTTAACTGCGCCATGTGACCGCCCCCTTCCTGCGCACGCGCGGTGCGGCGTTCCGAGCCTTCGCTCCGGTCTCTCGCCGGCCAGTGGGGAGCAG